TTCTAGGATACATGCATGCTACGTACTAGAGTTGTGCATAAACAGTCTGGTTATGTAGCCTTCTATTCCGGTTCACGTCCACTAACTAATGAAGAAAACGTTCCCCGGTTGGGTCATGTGGCTCGCTAAATTGGGTTTTTTTTTTACCGGTCTGCCGGACTTTTAAAAATGCTGGTGTCAAGCGACTGGTACATCGCTTTGCTAGAAGGGTCTAGAGGAAGGAAGAGCTGGATAGATTTCACCGACCGTGGCGGTGAAATGCAGCGTTCCCGGGCATGAGGAGGTGCGCAGGTGGATTCTGTAGGGACGTTTAGCATTTGCGCCAGCCAAAGACGTGTGCTGGTTCAAAGATCTTTGTCCTGTGAGGATCTCACGTCCTGGAGGCGCTTTGGACCGATTCTTGAAGGAGATGAATAAGTAATCAAGTTGATACTAGCTTCTAGATACAAGACGTAGCGCAAGGAAGCAAGAGAAAGAGAAAGCGTGGCTTCCCGATGCACGAAAGGAACAAGGGTATCACATGGTCACGTGATACCGCGGCAGCTTCAACATGGGATCGCGACAATCAGCGTAGACATCCACCAGCGTAGACTCACTCCCACGGCCAGCCTCCTGCGCTGATAGCTCATGGATGTCCGCCTGTGGATGTCCACGGCAGGTGGCTGGCCCGGGCACGTGCGTTTACGGTCTACCCTGTGCTGACGAGAGGACAGCGCCTGGTGAGGACATCCTCAGAGGCTGTCCCTACAAGTCCCTCCCCCACCGTGCGATAGCCTTGGCAGGCGATGTCCACAAGCGAATGAGCACACGCTAACCAAAATTTTGTGCTGGCACCTATTCGGGCCAGCACTGGTGGCCTATGCTCTTCCAGGTGCTGATACGTTGGACCCATCGCCCGCTACAACCCAGCCCAGAGTTGCCAGAGCACCCCAAGTCCCAGCGTTGTTCAGTGCTGTCATGCACTGCATGGTACACACTGGCTGGCACCATAGATAACGGCTGGCCTGCCAAGGCTACCGCACAGTGGAGGATGGTTTTGTAGTGCCAGCCTTTGGTCGAGGATGTCCTCACAGAGTGCGGTCCTTTTTGTAAGTCTGTGCCACATCAGGGGCTGTGGCCTAAGGGATGTCCCTCCTACTGCGATGGCACAGTGTGGACAGCCCTCCATGGAGGCCGTCCTTCGTGGCACAGCGCGCCTGTGCGCAAACTGCTCAAGCCTGCTCTCCATTGCGAGCCTGTCAGAGCCTCCGACAGGCCGGGTGAGTTCAAGAACACTCGCTCCGGTATAATGTATCAAAGGGAAGGCTGCCTCAGCAATGCCAACCCTTTTAGTCCCAGGCTACGTGCCTACCGAGTCTTTTTGATTCCTGAATTACGAACGCCTGCGAGATCTGCCAGTCAGCTCGTGCATACTAGACACGATCTACCCAGGATCTATATCACATATACTAGCAGCCTCGCTCTTAGCACGGGTCAGTCAGTAATCATATTGCCCATTTTCTTTTAGCATTCGAAAGATGGCACGGGTTAGTTCTTAGCACTCGAATTTGCAGTGGCTTGTGGCAGCGCAATGTGTCTATCTGCCGTAGTGGGACCGCCGAAGGCCTGCTGCCAGTACGGAAGCCTCCCACAACGGCACAGTTCTAGGCGCGAATCATCTTACAATGTCCTTAAGAGCCAAGGGCCACGCCTCGTCTGCGGATTTGAACTGGTATGATCTGCCATTATGACGAAGCAAAATATACACATCGGCCTTGTACCCCTGGTGAACCTTGAAACCACTCCTTACGAATGTGCGCCATTACTTCTTGAAATGTTCACTACTTCTGTCTCGTTTCTTTGCTTTTTGCGATTTACTAGGGGACACTGTAGACATGGGTTATAGAACAAAGACTCGAATCCAGGAAGCGGCCTGGTCGTTGGCTCTTTAAATCCTCGCAGATCACGGAACATTACGTATGACCCCTCTAACCAGTTAGGTGTGACGGCCATCTAAGTTCGGCCTCGCCTTACGGATATGTACGCATAGTGGGTCAAGTCACCAGCGTTCTCGTGCCGGTATCGTACCGTTAAGTGCAAAATGTACTACTTCATTTCGGTCAGTGTGGCACAATTTAGTTTCCAGATGGTCTGTGGCGCTACTTCTCAATCGGAGACCGTTCCTGCAGGCGAGATTGTGGGGTGGATAAGGGTGCGTTGTAGCACTCCACGAACTCCCATCGGAAACGCTGTCTGTCAACATGGCGAGACACGTTTTTCTCTGCGGGAATCGAAAATCACTGCAGTGTCCTGGGGCAGTGAGTATCCCAGGCCAGTAGGTATGCTGGGCATGGGATGGGCGCTAAGTGTAGTCCCGTGCTCATCATCATCACCGCGATGGACAGCACATGGGCCGGGCCATAGTGCCTGCGCTGCACAGCGCCGATAGTTCCCAAGCGGCAAAACCTACGCTGCGGAGACTAGGCTGTGCCGCCCCAGCCAGTGCCTGCGCTGTAGCGGCTCCAAGCACGTGGCGTATCCCAGTACATGGCATATCCTAACTAGTACATGATGTGTGCTAGTGCATGCGTCCCAGCCCTCACTGTCTTGACTTGACTTGACTTGACTTTATTCATAGACTGTCCCAGCCGCCGTTGTTGGCAGCTATGCAGCGTTCTATCTACTGATGTTGCTGTCCTGGGCCCAAAGACGAAGTTCCCTATGGCAAAGTTCGCTTCGTCTTCGGCTTAGTCAACTCTATCATACAGATGGCCATTTATGGCAGTTCTATATCTCTGACTTGTCAGGCCTTTCCTGGCCCTCCTTAACTTCTGTATAACAGTAACCACTCGTTCGCGAGGCTTTCCATTTCTGTGGACAGAGCCGTGCCCTGCCCTCTCGGTTCTCTTGGCTGTGTTTGTGCTATCACTTGCAGGCTGTTGCATCTTGCAACGTTCTAGAGGGCATTGGGGACCCAACAGCCTACT